ACCATGGCCTGTATCAGGTGGACCTTAGCCTCCAGAGAGACACTGCTGCTCTTGCGTATTTTGAACCAGGCAGGAACAGGAATAAAAAGGTAGAACTATTAAAATAATACTGCTTTGTATCAATATTTCTTTGTACTGGTATTTTGTGAGACCCTGTCAATTCAAATTAGAAAATTAAGGAAGAACACTTTCATCATTAATATGCAAAAATGTTTGACTCAAGCATAAGTAGAGAAATAAGTTTATGATCTAGAAGAATTTAGACTGTCATTCATTTTCACTTAAGACACTGAGACAGCTAGACCTCCATCAGCCAAGCCAGAAATTTTACAATTTTCTTCAAGTTCTCCCAGCATCCAACTAACTATGAGTCATAGTGTTTACCTCCTAAATATCATTTAATGTTCTTATCCATTTCATGGTTTTTTAAATTTGTAAATGATTTTTTATTCTGGTTTGAATGAAAGTTTACAAAAACACCTGTTTCTTTCATTCGTCCATACACATTTCTCTCCTTCGTCCACTATTCAGGGAGCGAGAGTGACCAGCCATCCTGCTTTGTGTGGGATTGAGCAATTCCTTGGGGCAAGGAAATTTCAGATTTTTAAAAATTTTTTTTAAATTTTATTATTTTTGTTTGAGTGTACCGTCAAATCAGATCTGACTGGTACAGGAGGAGATTGTCCCTCCTTCCCCGGCAGAGCATCTGGTGGATTCGAACCTTGCGCCTCTGGGATTGTAGTTGCAGCTCCTTGCCACTAGGCCACCAGAGCTCCCCTCAGATTTTTTTTTAAAGCAGGATAGTCCAGGTATACTGAGCCATAGGACTTTGAGTACTGAATCTAGGCAAATGCAGGGAAACTGGGAGTTGGTGGTGAACCTAGCCTAAAGCCTTCATCATTTTTACCTGAATTGCTGTAATTTACTGCATTTTTGGAACCCTGGAACAATTTTTTTACCTACCAACTACAAGACTCATTTGCTATAGTCCATCTTTCCCTCCACTCTGCAGCTGAAGTGCTCTATCTAAAAATTCTAATTTGAAAACCTGACTCTTCTATTAAAACCCTCTGTTGGTTCTATTACTCTTAAAGCATTCATCCAAGCCCTAAGCTTCTACACATTATCCTTGTTAACCTGTGTTCTTCCTGGAATCCCTGTCTCAAGACTATCTTAGTCTCTCACAGGATGTGTATATATCATTAGGAAGCTTTTGCTGACTTTTCCTCTAAATTGAATGCATCTTTCTATATTCTAATATCTAGAAATAATTCCACGTGGAACACGTGTTTTGCATAGCAATAATGACCCTGCATTCTAATGATTTTCTTGACTGCTTCTCCTATAAGTATTTAAAGACAGGTTTCTGCCTTCTTTGTCTTACTTTTAAAAATAACTATAGCTTATTTCTTAATACTTGATCAAGTTTGCAGCTTTGAAAATCCCATGGAACATTCTATCAAACACATAAGGTAATCATGCATTGGAAGTGACAATAACAACAACAGCATGTATGTGTGATATGACAGAGCCAGGATCTGACAAGGGATCCCTGGGGATGTGGTCTATAGGGAGTTGCATTGTTAAACCACATGCTTCACCTCTCTGGTGTTTCAAATCCACCAGTGGCTCCAAGGGAGAAAGAGGGATAATCTCCTCTCGTGAGACTTACAGCCTCAGAAACACGCTGATGTATCATCTATGAGTTGGTTCTGACCCAACAGCATTAAGAATGTGAATATGTGTGATTGACGTAAAAGCTTTTAACATACCTTTATTACAGTGCATATATCATACCTTCATATAAAATTGTTGACTTATGTTTTCCTACTCTCTGAACCCTAAGCAGTTAAGGAAGGTAAATGAATGATAAAATGGGTTACAAATTAGATAAGCACCTTTGGTTTTGACACACTATTTATCTTTGTTGTTGAGACTTTACTTAGAATATTAAGTCCTAGAAGTTCATAAGTCTCTACTTTCTTTTTCCTGTCATTGTTGTCTGATCCTGCCCAAGCTTATGCTATTTTCATAATCTCTGCTATGCGTAAGGCCATTGTTGCAGTCACTATGTCAACCATCACATTGAGATTCTGCCTATCCTGTTATGACCCCTTACTTTTCAAGCATGATGTTTTTTCTCAATCATATCATGCTCAAAGTATGTGAGATGAACTCTCATCCTCTTCCTTCTAAGGAGCACCCTGGATGTACTTCCTCCCTGACAGATATGTTTCTTCTTTTGACAGTCTATGATACACTCAATACTGTTAACAATATAAAAATTCAGAGGCATCAATTCAACTCATCAATTCATCTTAGTCTTTCAACTGACATCTTTGCTCTTTCAAACTTTGGAGAGGTCACTGATAGCCGATTTGTCCAATGCAATACTCCTAACAGTAAGTTTTAAAATAATGTAATAGCAGCATAATCTCATTGTGGCTTAAATTCCCCAGAATATGAAATGATCACTGTTTCGTCTTGATTGTTTATGAGGTGCTCAGGCTGCCTTCGGCTCTATCAGCCTTGGAATATCAATCAGTAGAACCATGTGAATTTCACACTTCTGGAGCCTGGGAATAACTCCATGTGGAAAGTGTGTTTTGTTAGTATGAACATCATTCATGTGCATATGGAAATATTTTACTAAAAATAATCAAATCATAATGTTCTCTCCCCTGCTGTCTGCCCCTCCTCAATGTCAAATGAATGTCTCAGCCAACACATCAATGTTAAGTTTTGTCAATTCTTTTATTACAGCCATAAACACTCTTTTTCACAACACCACAGCTTCAAGGGTTCTATGCAATATGTAAGTCAGGATTTTAAAAGTGAGATTCTTGAATACAGAGGGTAATAATTATTAAGTTTTTAAATAAAAAGGCAGTTAAAAGATTTCCAATGGCTTAAAGAACAAAACAAAGATGATGAAGGTAGACCTGCACAAATTCTATACAGAACTTCTGAGAGTAAACAACGATGTCTCCGTGGTAGTCTTTGAACAGTGACTCCATGTTCTAGAATACGGAGTCAACCCAAGTGGCTCCATATTCTAGAACAGCCATCCTGATTAATACGATCTGTTGGGACTATAAGTGGAAATGACCAAATTCAAAGTAGGCCCACAGTTCTAGGTGTATTATAATACTACTTTAATTTTTTTTAAAAAAATGTAGACTATTTTAATAGTAACATTGTTGTTGTTGATTGCCTTTGAGTAGAGCACGTCTTATAGAGACCCTATGAACAAAAGGCCTGAAGTCCCTCTACAACTACCAACATTTATCAAAGAGTTTTATTTCTTTATAGAGTTTCCAAAGGCAAGTTGTTTAGGAAGTGGATGCTATGCAAGTGGATGCTGCAAGGCCGCCAGCTGCTCTGTGGGAGAAGGATGGGCAATCTCCTCCCATGTCTTCAATCACCTCTGAAAACCCGCCGGAGGGTCAGTTCTGACACTGTGGTACACAGCAATAATAATATAAAAAATTAAAATAAAAAGTCATTAAAATACCAAAGGCTTTACATTTTGTCTTTCCACTGAGCACTTCCTGTTGGCAAATACTGAAGTCCAAAAGACCCTATTCTTGAGCTCAAATGTCACATCGTTATTCTCCTATCACCTTTCTTTCTTTTACCATCGAAATTTGTAAAAAGTTAAGTACTGTATGATTGTATGAAGCACCATGTAAAGTATATAAAACATAATGTACATGAATGAAAAACATGGGGAAGTAACCCATAAGTATTGCCTCTGTGTCCTGTTACAGCCACTCTTGGACTCAGTATAATATGCTGGTCATCCATCACTTTAGTGAATCTTCCTTGGAAAATATCATCAATCGCTTTCTAATCACCAGAGACAAGAGGCTCTTTGAAGTTCTGACATAGCCAATATAATCCTTAAATGCTTATTTGGCCTTGCATAAAATGAAAATAAAAAACAAATTTGCAGGTCATAACAAATTCCAGTGAGATATCTTCCAAGGAGCTAATCCTGTCACATATACATTGAAAATCCACTCCTTTGCTAGCACTTTAGTGCTTGTCCAGAACCATAAAGGGTCAGAGACTATTGACATTCTGCTGACAACAGAGGAAAAGGATCAAAAAACACTAGGAGACTAAGTCAACAAGGCAAAGGTTTTATTTACATCTGAATCTATACATGCAATGTTTTTCACTATTAAACTTCCTCACTGAAG